TTCAAAAATTTGTGGATTCCACAAGCATAGCAGTCCACCAGCACTGCCTTCAGCCCCCACCTCCATGCTCTCTAGCTCCTCCCATGGCCATAATGACTTAAGGAACTTGTCGTCTACTTTACTCCTCTTTGTCTCCTGCAGCAGCAAGACATCAATCTTCCTCTCCCTAACTAAGTTTTTAATTTTTCTTCTCTTTTCAGGTCGTCGCAGACCCCTAACATTCCAGGATAGAATAATCATAAAAACTGTTCACAGATCCCAAATCCCCTCACCTCTTCCTGACCTGGCCTAGGGAATAATTCCCTCCCCATCGATTTTCTCCAGGTCCTTCTCTTCAAGTTCAATTAATTTGCTAATCACCTCCTGCTCTTTACCTTCACAATTCAAGCCTAGTATTTTGCCGACTTCCATAGTAGCTTGGGCTTCACTTAGGAACTTATGCCTTCTCCTTGAGTTAAGACTCTGCTCAACTGACAATGATATTGCAGCTGCTGCTGCTCTAAAAATAGCTCCTTTGCGAAGACAGGTGTTGGTCAGTGCTCCCTTATTCTTGGTCTGCTTCGTCAGGTCAGCTCTTTTCTTCTTTCTACTGCTCATCTTGGTTTTGTACTCTGCCCCTTCCTTGATGTTGTTCCTATTTCTATCACTTTTCCTGCGGCTGGAAGCAGATCATGAGGCCTAAAATGAGTTTGGGCTATACAATCACTTAAATTTGAGGGTTCTGTTATGGGCCCATTTGCCAATACCCCAGCCTGAGGAACTTTCAAAATTACCTCTAAGTTTACCTTGGGCCTTGGACTCTCAGGTCCACTAGAGCTTGGGATTTTCTCAGGGTTGCATATAGGCCCATCAACAATTTGAATTTCATTTCTTGGAATTACCACATGCACCTGGTTAGCCTCCCTACCTACCTCGCTGACATTCAGAGTCCCCATGGCACCCCCAGTTTCTTTTACGGCTGATGCAGAGAGCCACTCATTACTCTTCTCTTTTGCCCCTGAAACTCTCCCCACCATGTCCTCTCCACCATTTTTTGACAGCTGATCTACTTCCTCTTGACCCATAGATTCAGTGCCCACATTGTCGAAGCAAAAGCTGTTGCAATGGCATGGTTGTACTGCTGCTGGGAGTTCTTCACACACTCTAACTGGGAAAATATTTCCATTACATTCAACATTGATCACCTCATTTATGAACTCCAGTCGATTGGTGATTATTCTTACCTTCCCACTCTGAAACGAACTCTGACTGAGAATATCTTCACCTATCTGAACAACCTCACCCCACACCTTGCCTATGTCACTGAATGTAGTAACATTCCACAAGTTGAATGGGACACCTACACATGTTATCCACACACATCTTTCTTGTGCAATGTAAATTCCTTTCTCCCAATCTGTAATAAAATCGCACCAGTGAACCAACCACTTTTCAATCTTTTGCCTTGCTTCCTTTTTGTGTTGTTGTGAACTGAAGGTTATCACAGCTAGCCTTCCTCCCCCAGCTCTAACTGTTACATCCTTTGCACCTCTTCTAGCAACCTCCTCCTTAAACTCATTGAATGATAGAATAGATTTGAGTTTGACTATTATACTGTCATAAAGCCACCCATTTCCAGTTTCATATGCTTTGACAGTACGTTTTGCCTTTCCAGCACTACCTCCATTCTGTACTACTTCTGCAAAGGATCTTCTGCCTACACTTTCCAGCCCTTGTTGCACGAGACCCCTCTGTTGACGCTGCATCATCCGATCGTTTCCTCTGGTTACCATTGCAGGTCGCTTGATCTCACCTTTTTTGAACTCTGCCTTTTTCACTTTCAATGCCTTGTTGTCACACCACAGGCCATCCGTCTTCAGCACCGCCATTTCAGCAGCAACATTGCAATCGTATCTCACAAAACCAAACCTAGATCCCGTTGCTTTCCTTCTTTTTGCTGGGATGAAAGCATCCTTGACTACTCCAAAATTATTAAACAGAGTGAACAGGCTCCTAGGAGTCATTGAGTCTGGAAGCTCATCCACAAAGATGGTGTACAACCCCTTCTCCACTGATCTGTTACCTTGGTTACCCATCTGTCTTTTTCGGAACACTGGGTTCCAGCCTCCAGCCTCCACTTGGTTACCTTGGTTACCCATTAAAGTTTTCTTTTCTTTTGCTGATAAAAAAGAAAGTAAAAGAGAGCTTATCAAGATTGGAAAAGCAAGAGACGTTATATCTTGAGGATAACAATTTCAACAAAAGCATCATTCTATGTTTGAGTTCATTGATATCTCTCAAAAACCTTTCTCTTTATGGCAACAACTTGGGAGATCCCTTTCCTGCCCGAGGCATGTCTATCTTTATGAGAACTCCCAAAGAGAATATATTATCCATTCTTCTTATTCATATCTTCACAAGAATTGTTCAAGTGCAGAATTAACGGTGTTGAAAAACTTGGAGACGTTGGATATAAGATTTAATGATCTTAGCTCCCTAACAATGCAAGGTATTACTTAAGAACTTCCTAGATTCAGTTGAATAGAACTATAAATAAATTTTATATTATGTATGAGTTCATGTTTAAGCCACCTGCTATGGATACACAAGTATAAAGGCCTCTTTTGGAACATGCTATTTTACTAATTTTTTGGCACAAGTATAGGTTATAGCAATGGATCAAAAGTACATTTGTTTATTTGAAAGCAACTTCTTAAACATTTTTTTACCCATTTAGAGTTATTACAGCTTGTTTACACGCTTCCCCATTTAGTTGTTTTTGTTAGCTTAGGCATTGAGTTGTAGACATTGGTATATGTTACAACATATAAGAGTTTTAGTGGCTAAATTTTTTAGTTTTTAAAAGTCAAAATTTTGTTACAAAATATATTTAGGAATCAATTTTTATCGTCGTGACAATAGTCGCTAAAAGGTCGTCTCGAAATGTAAAAACAAGGCTTTTAGCAACAAAATTTTAAAAATGTCACTAATAAATAGGGACAAAATGGTTATTTTTTGCGACAAAAAATTTGGTCCCAAAAGGATAATAATTCATCATTAATGTCAAATTTTCGTTGCTAAAAATATTATGACACTTTTCACAACAAAAATATTTGGTCTCTAAAAAATAATTTTTTTCCTAAATTTTGGTCTCTAAAACCTTAATTTTTTTGTAGTGATGGTTTTGTTGTGCCAACAAAAGCTCTTATATTACTTTTTCAATTATTAGGGAAAAAAAAAGGCATAGGAAAAATTAAGCACAAATAATAACCACAAAACACAATTATGTGGTATACATTTTCCATCTTTACCCAGCAAAGCGACTACACTACCAAAATACCCAAACAAAATAATGCCACCTACAAACCACAACTTAATAGATATGATATCAAGGCATAACCCTTTAACTTGCTTTTTTAATAGAAAATTTCCATTAGGAGTTGGTTTGCAATTTTGGCCTAAATATTCTGCTCATGCAGCACTACTCATTCTTCTTTAGAGAATCAACTCTTTTACTCTCACAAGAAACATACGCTCCCATGAGAGGAGAGCCCCTCAACCCTCGGGCGCATTAAAACCTTGGGCATGCTCAAATTTTTAACACTATGCCTCTTTTTGAACAAATTATTGCCGCAAGAATACTTCATAAAAGAAAAACCAGTACCTAAAGATAGGAACTTGAGACAATTTCCAACAAGTTTACATAAAGAGAAAGGCCATGAATCAATTGAAGCGAAGAGGATTTGACAAAGGCATTGGACAATGCATGGATTTTAGAGTGTTGTGTCATTCATTGAGTTTCAGAAGAACATTTTAATGTCTACTTTTTCTTTTTTTTATCGGCAAAAAAGAAGCTTTATTTATGATGATGAAAGGTACAAGTTGTACATACAAATACATCAATTAAGGAGTGCACAAAGCATCACAATGGGCTAAATCATCCCAACTAGGTTGACACCAAAAAGCCCATCCTATCATATGCTAACACCCCCAATAGAAAGCAACCAACCAAGGAAAACAACGAAAAACAATGAATCAACAAATCACAACACACCCCAAACAGCACGTCTAAACCTTAGCACACTAGGTCAGCCACCATTCCTGATGCCAAATAGAACCTGTTGCAGGTTTGACACAATGTCATTAACAGAAAACACAATGTCATTAAATCAACAAATTTTAATGTCTACTTGAAATGAACAAAAAATAAAAATCTGATGTTATAACTTTGCATTTAGATGGCTGACACTTTCCTTGACAGTAACATTCAAGATCATAGATTTCTACTGTGCAATTATGTGTAAAATAATGATGGTGTCGTTCAATGATTGTGCTCTTGATTTTCAAATATTTAAATAAATAACAGAAAAGCCCAAAAAGAGAAAGCAATATACAAGAAAAAGAAATAGAAGGCTGGGAAATAGTTGTTAGTACTTCTAGCTCTACAACTTTTGTTTGTTTCATTTTGTTTATTATTTTTTATTTTTTTTAATTGGTTCAACTTACCTATTGATTTCAAATTGAAAATATGATTAAATACGTTAGATGTTACTTATGAAAGAAATTGTCTACATTGTCTGGTTTTATACATAGCAAGTAATTCCCCATGAGTAGAACAAATGGAAGTGTATTGATTCTTTAATTAAAATGACATAGCTAGCAGTTTGTGGTTTACCTAATTACTGTTTTGGGTGAAATATGGGGGGGGGTGTGAAAGTCTTTTTACAAAGTACCTAATTACCTATAAAAGCAATAAGTTGGCCATTTTCACTTATGGTTCTTTGGGGTTGACTTTTAATCACATTTGATCATGGTCATATGCTCATATTCTAAACTACTGTCTAATTTGAGCAAGATGAGACATCTGGATCTAAGTGGTAATCATTTTGACAAGGATGCCTTCAAGATTTTGGGTGCTCTCCCATCCCTTAAGTTTCTATCCTTAAAGTCCAATAGAATGGAAGGACCACTTTCTAACCAAGGTACGTGTATTTTCGATTTTTGAAATTCATGCTACTTAATTTTTTACGATCCATTTGAGTGTTGAGAAGACTTAAAATGGTCGGAAAAATGAAGTCTTACTTCTAGAAGATTGTGCAAACTAAAAGTTCTTCTTTGTCAAAGATATATTTTTGGAATCTATTAATGCCCATCAATGCCATTATTGTCCTTAAAATTTTTAAAATTACATTTTCATTTGACATTGTGCTACTAACTGAGGTGCCCATAGAATGCAAATCATAACATCAAATTATATTTATCTCCATTTTCTTTATATCAATCTAATTAATGAGTAATCTTAGCAATCTAGAGGTCCTCCTCCTCATATCTAATCAGTTCAATGGAAGGCTACCAATGGAAACTTGTTATTTAGATTGTCTTAGGATCACCCTCCAATCTTTATCGTATTTTGTTAAGTTCTCTTGGCTCTATTTTACCTTTATCATATGTTTTGGTAGGTTTGACATCCTTCCGCCATCTGGAGATCTTAGATTTGAGTGTGAATAATTTCTATGCAAGTATTTCTCCATCCATCGGAGCGTTATCTTCTCTGAAAGCTCTATTTTTGGCTCAAAATAACCTTAATGGTTCTTTATCAATTCAAGGTAGAAATTCTATTCGTTAAGGTTATCTATTATAAACTAAAAGGCCAACAAAATAGAAATTCAAAGGCCAACAAAAGTTCTATTTCTTCCTTTTATTTTATTTATTTATTTATTTGCTTCATTCTTGTTTAATTTGTTTAGCATTGAAGAAAACTATGAACTAGCATCATCTTTCTTTTTTCAAGAGTTAGCTGGTGTTTGATAAAATTGGAAGTTGAAAACTGAGAGTTGAGAGAAATTCTAATATACACTCCTTTAAAAAGGGTATGCCATATGCACTCTTAGTTATGTCATTTTCTTTTTCAGTTATGACCAATTTTCTTTTTTAGTTATGACATTATTTTAGTTATGACGCGTGAGGTATTTAGTTATGCCTCGTGTTGTGTTTAGTTATGATATGTTTTTCCTTTTTTTAGTTATGACTCAAGAAATTGAAGTTATGCCATTTTTCCTATAAGGTGCATATGGTGCACACATTTGAAGGATGTCCACCACAGTGTTTCCTAAAAGTTGAAAATTAAGTACTGAAAATTGAAAGTTGAATTCTTGAAGTTGAAAAGTTGTTTGATAAAAATTTAAACACTAAAATTGTTTCATATGTAAGAGATTAAATTTGAAATTTATTATCTTCAAATTGTATCTTTCAAATTTTTTAGTGTGATGGTGGTGGTGGTGATGATGGTAAGGTTATAATGGCATATGTCGATTCTTGTGCATAAGTATTTATAAATTTAGTCAGTATTAAATAAGGAGAAATGCTGTGTATCTCAAATATTCTACCAAATATTCTACCAAACCTCTCACATGAGTTGGGACTCACACAAATCCATGTGTGTGTGGGTCCATACCCATATGAGAGGTTTGGTAAAATATTTGGTAGAATATTTGGAATCCGTAGCATAACTCTTAAATAAGTTTCATATCACTTAAAATGTTCTTAACTTTCATCATAAATTTTAAGACCCACTTAAATTTTTAAGTGATGTTAATTATAGTTATCAAATGGATGTAATTGAATTTGGTTCAATACATTCATTTTTAAATATTGAATTATGTTATCAAACAACACTTTAGTATACATCTTATAATAACAAATTTTTTACTGAGTATTATATAAATCCATGGCATTACAAACAATACGTGTTTCATAAGCTTGTTGTTTTGTAGGTTTGTGCAAATTGAAGAAACTTGAGGCGTTAGATCTCATCCGTAACCACTTTGAAGGGATCCTTCCTTCATGCCTAAGCAATTTGACATCTCTGAAAGTTTTTTGATATTTCTCTAAACCAATTCACAGGAAACATTTCTCCATCTCTGTTTGGAAGCCTTAACTCCCTAGAGTACATTGGTCTTAGTCATAATGGTTTCGAGGGTTTATTCTCATTTGGCTCATTTGCAAACCATTCAAACTTTGAGGTGGTTGAATTGACAAGTGACAATAACAAATTTGAGGTAGATACTGAATTGACAGATTGGATTCCCTTGTTTCAGTTGAAAATCCTTGTTCTATCAAACTGTGATCTGAGCAAGCTCTTTGGTGATGTTCTGAAATTTCTCCTCTACCAAAACAAGCTAATGGTCGTTGATCTCTCCCACAATAACTTGACAAGTTCTTTCCCAAACTGGCTACTAGTGAACAACGCGAGACTACAATTTTTGGTCCTGCGGAATAACTCTTTTGTTAATCTTTTTTTCTGTCGCAATACTGCTATATCAATATTGTCCAAATTGACATCTCTGACAATCACTTAAGTGGGCAAATTCAAGCCAATATTGGGGATATGTTTCCATATATTTTGTACTTAAACTTATCCAGTAATGCTTTTGAAGGTGGTATCCCATCCTCATGCTTTTGAAGGTGGTATCCCATCCTCATTTGGTAAGATGAGTCAGTTGATGTATCTGGATTTATCCTCTAATAATTTTTCAAGGGAGGTGCCAAACCAGTTGGTTAGAAATTACAGATCTTTATCGACTTTAAAATTATCAAATAACAATTTTCATGGTCAAATCGTTTTATTTTACTTCGACTTGACTCAGATAGGAATTTTGCAATTGAATGATAATCAATTTACAGGACCTCTAACAAATGTGCTCTCCAAATTGCTTGGATTGTGTTTCCTTGATATTAGCAACAACTACATGTTTGGCAAGATTCCAAGTTTAATAGATAACATGACATCATTCAAAACACTAATCATGCGAAATAATTTATTCAATGGTGAGTTCCCATGTGCACTGGTTCCAAGTGTGTTTATGGACATGTCTTATAACTTATTTTCAGGATCAACACTTCCTTCTTGCTCAAACCGAAACCTGCATAACTTGAAACATATGCATTTGCAAGGTAACAAGTTCACAGGGTTAATTTCAAGAGCTCTCCTTAATTCGTCACATCTTTTGACTCTGGATATTAGGGACAACATCTTTTTTGGCAGCATTCCTGATTCCATTAGACTGCTTTCCAATCTTAGAATTCTTCTGTTTAGAGGGAACCACCTGAGCGTTCAATTCCAATTCAATTGTGTCAACTAAGTCAGAAAAATCTGACGGACCTTTCCAATAACTATTTCAATGGTTTTATACCTCCTTGTTTCAATAATATCACCTTTGGCACGATAGGGGCTAGTGACCAACCCTTCATGCAAAGATCTATATATTCCTTTGGTTATTATGCAACTTACCAATACAGAGGTATATTTGAGATGAATTATATAACCTGTTTTGAAGTTATGTATGATGAAGTAGACAAAGCTGAGTTTGTCACAAAAAGTAGAAGTAACTCTTACAAGGGCAACATCCTTAATTTCATGTCTGGATTGGATCTGTTAGATAACAAACTAATTGGTGAACTACCTTCTGAACTAGGAAAGCTAAGTGGTATTCATGCACTGTACTTGTCTCGCAATCTCTTGACTAGACCCATCCCGAAGACCTTCTCAAACCTTGCCCAAATAAAGAGTTTGGACCTTTTTTACAACGATTTGAGTGGAAACATCCCAATAGAATTAATCAATCTAAATTTTTTGGAAGTGTTCGCCGTGGCTCACAGCAATTTATCAGGTAAAATGTTAGATAGGAAAGCACAATTTGGGACTTTTGAAGCGAGTAGTTATGAGGGAAATCCATTTCTTTGTGGACCGCCATTGAAGAAAAATTGAACAGCCATTGTTGACTCACCACACTTGCCAACAATAGTATCCTTAGATGAAACTGAGGGGAAATGGTATGATATCGATCTAGTGGCATTTTTTCTACAAGTTCTATCGGAACATACATCACTTTCTTGTTTAGATTTGCTACTATTCTTTACATCAACCCGTATTGGAGACAAAGGTGGTTCTATTTGATTGAGGAGGGTATGTATTCTAGTTACTATTTTGTTTCTGATTCTCTTTGCAAGATATTACGCCTTCTGTATTGATAGCCATGGTTTGTTTCCATGGACAAGTATAGCAAATGTTGTTTTCTGATTCGTTTTACAAGCTATTAGGCCTTTTGTATTATATTAGCTATGGTTTGTTTCCATGGACAAGTATGGCAAATCTTGCAATAGTGCTAGCTTTGTGTTGCTTATGAATGAATAAATGGAAACATAGTAAGCATTATTGGTTACTTGTTTTCATTTCATTTCATGTTGCTTGGAAATATTGCTATGAAAACATATATAGGGTCCTAGAAAACATATATACATATATATATATATATAATTTGGAAGCAAAGTTTGTAAGGTTTTTGGTAAGTATAGCATTTCGCTTTATACATTGAAATAATTTGGATTTATGAAAAAGTTCATTGGATATCAAAAAATTGAAAAGATACAATACATATATAAGAAATCTGTTTCAATTCTTTGATTGACAATTACTTTGGCATGTGTGACTAGCTAGCTACTTCTGGATTTAAAATAGAGAAACTAATGTTTAGGACATGAGAAAGTTTGAAATTACAAATTAGAAATGTTTTTCTTTAAGATTGAGATTATGTCATGTTTGGCAAAAAATTACCATCCACTCATTATTCATAGAGTTGTGTTTGGTTTATGGATTTTTGTAGGAATTTGAAAAGGAAAAGGGAAAAAATGTGTGAAATGTAATTATACTTCACCCACAATTTTCTTTTCTCTTTTCAAATTCCTACCTAAATCCATATACGAAACACAACCTAAATAGACCAATCACTTATTGTTTATGTTATTAGTCAGGTGTTACAAATTCTAAATTAAATTTGACTAAGCTCGTACCTAACTAATTAAATAACAAATGTTACACTTCTACTATCTTCTTATATAACATTTGATATACCCTCTTATGTACCTCAATCACAACCATTAATGTAATGGATTCCACGTGAGTTGTATTAATATCCAATGATTATGATTGTATTATATGAAATAGTATACGGAATGTAGTATAAAAAGATGACAAATGTAATATTATTGATTATACAATTTTTTATATCCCATTGCACACGTCTAAGACTTTCATGACCTATTGATTAATAATGACTCTAAAAATGTAGCCTTGGAGGAAATTTCAAGTAATGGGATCATCGTCGAAATTAATGCCATTTTTATTTTGATTTGCTTGTGCTAATCTTTTGCATAGAAGAAGTAAATTTCCTATGCTTTTATGGTGGAAGTTGAGTCAAATATATAAATATATATATATATATATATCACCACAAAACAAATAATACAAGGTATTATATTGTGTGGAGAAAAACTTATCACCACTTGTAATGGCGTCAGATTGATCTAACTTGAAGGTTGGATCACCTAAAAAATACTCAAAAAAATAATATTGACTGATAAGTAGTCAGAGGACTCTCTCATACCCAAGTCAATAATGAAAATAAGTTGTGTACCTTTTGGGTTTGGGTGTCTTGCTTATATGGGCTCTATTTCCAACCGTTGGAGGCGATTGAGTGATCCCTATAACTTCCCCATTCTGTTCCACTTTTTAGGGAATTGTGTCTCACATTTGCAAATTTTTATGAGTAGATAAATCCTTGCTGGGTGGAATAAGTGTGGACTTGGTTAAAGGCCCTCGGACTGTTGGTTTGAAATTAAATCTAGCTTGGTGACGAGCCATCTCTAGCTCAACTTCTTAACTCGACCTTCTAGTTTGACTCTCCTTTTTAACCCTAATCAGCCCCAATAAACATCATGTGACTTCTAGCTTGGATTTTGCCTCCCACATATACCATCTTATATAGTCATTAGGGTACGTAGCAAGATTGATTGTCAAATTAATTTGTTACATTTACAATTTTTGTTGTTATCAATTAATCTATGTGTAGATAATAATGTAAGTGAACTATACCGTAATTGCAGTATGACAAGTATCTCTTTCACTTTTTCCAAAACTTAACTTTCAATAGAAACAAAATTGTGGTAATTACATTTTAGTGGAATAGTGAAAGAATAATTGTACTATATATGAATTTTTGTGTAAGTATACAAAGACTTAACACAATACACAAAAGACACTTGTACCTCATGAAAATGACAAAAAATTATAATGTGAATCTGTCGACCTTTTCTGCACTCCAACCCTACTGAATCTTAATCAAAATCATTTTAATTTTCTTTTCATTCCAAATTTTTGAATAAAATAAGCAAAGGTGGATATGGTTTCTAAGAAAGAACTTGTGAGGTACCGTAAAAGTATTTTTTTGGCTATATTTTGATGATTTGAATCGTTTATATTATAAGGTTTGTCAAATATATCATCCATATAAAAAATCAAGTTAATCGGACATCTGTAACCCCATGATCAAGTCCTAATTGTTTTTAAAAAATTATTAAAATCATGTTAACCGTTTTTTTTTTTTTTTTTTTTTTTTTTTTGAAAAACAAATGTGCTCTTATTATAAGGCTACATAGATGTCCAATTTACTTGTTTTTTTTGTAATGTTATCAATTTATAGTGCACTTGATAATATTTTCTTTGATTATGTGGTTATTCTATATATGTAAAATAACTTGAGACGAGATGGTGAAAATCTCTAATTTCAATTGCAGATTTTTATTTGATAAAAAAAAAAATAAAAAGGTGGATACCATATCAAAAACTATTTCTAATCATTAGATTTGAATAATAGAAAAAAATTTAGCCATCAATTAGTAATGGTTAATACTGAATACAAGGTGATTGAAGGGGCTGAATATGAAATGGGTCAGATCTGAGCCTTGGGCCGGCCAATCCAATAAAGCCCAAGTTCAAATGGATTAGATGAATATATGGGCAAGCCAATTAAGCCCAATTCCATGATCAACAGATTGCCCAAGTCCTCAAGCACTTGGACCCAGCCCGCAGTGGAAAGGCTAGTCCAGCTGCGACGCTGGGCTAGGCCGAGCTGCCAGACTGAACCTTTGGGCCGAACAGATGTGGATCGAGCCCACACTAAGATATCCGAATGGACCAGCCCGTCCCAACGGAAGCTTTGAATAAGGCCGAACCGAGGTACTGAGATACCAAGCAGAGGGAACCTCACAGGAAAATGTGGAAGTTCTGAGCATGTGTATGTGCAAGCTGCCACCTCAGCTGGTCCCCCACACCTAGGATCACGGAAGTTGTTGAACCAAAGAAATGTGGTTTGTTATCAGCATGACCACAATGAGTATATGCATTCAATGATAACTACCAGGTGGTCCCCCACCTTAAGCAATGCAAAAAGGACACTTGGCAGCATCCAAGCTCCATGAAACCATCTTGAGAAGCAAGCAAGGAGCCCTATATATACTACATGAACTTCACATTGAAGGTAACTGAACTATTCCAAGCAAAATCATACTTAGAGATAGACTCAACTCTATATACACTTCTTCTCCGATCACTAATTCCCACACTGGAGGGGTTATCCGGCCAACCCCGGCCGGGAAGCTCTAACGGTGCTTCTTGTGGAAGGAACCTCAGTCCCTGGATAGTCCAACCGAGTGCGGGGCCCCGATCCACTTTCATCTAGTGCGGAATCTGGTACGCATAATTGGTGCGGTGAGTGTGGATCGCTTCATTTCTAAGCTCTGCACTCAGTTCTGGCGATGGGGATTGAGGACGTTCCGTCTTCAACACATACTCTACAGACGGAGAAGACGAAGGACAAAGGTTTGGCACTCCTAACAGTTCTGGAAGAACAAACTAGAAACAATAACTGGACTCCTGAATCCGTCGAGCATCGATTACCCTTCGCTGGAGGTTCTTCTCATCACTTTCTTCTGGAAAAGGATTATAGAGATCGAATCATAGACTCCATGGGGATGGAGATACAAGAGCTGAAAGCCCAACTTAAAAGGGTGCTGGGTGATCCGACGAAAAAAAAGACAGAAGCAGAACCCTCTCGTCTGCAACGAAGGAGCTCATCCAGAGAGCCACCAATGAAAAAATTCCCTAGAAATGAGTCTGGGCAACGAAGCCAGCCTATCTCGGTACAGAGTGAAGCGGTAAGCAGCCACACCCGTGGGTCATGCCGGAGAAGGGCTAAGAGGCAGAAGACGGTCAGTCAACAAACTGAGTACCCCCCACAAGACCTTCATACTTGGTTGATCGGCAACAAGTAGAACGAACAGCATCGGGATCACCTGGACCGAACTATTCACCAGAGAGAACACCGAGCACTGGATAGGCTCGTCTCTTCACCATTCTCCCCAGAAATTGAAGCCATAAGGCCTCCAAAGAAATTCACCCCACCAAAGTTCACTTCATACGATGGAAAGTCGGACCCGCTAATGCATATTAGCCATTACAGACAAATGATGTCTCTATGGAGCCAAGATGAGGCACTGATGTGCAAAGTCTTCCCATCCAGCTTGGGAGAGACCGAACTTTGATGGTTCGATCGACTCCCCGCTGGATCGATTCGTGGCTGGAAGCAACTCTCCGAAGAGTTCCTAGCCAAGTTCGTCTCCAACACTAAGATTCTGAAAGAGCCAGATACACTGTTTGGCCTTCGAAAGGAGTAGGAGGAAACGCTGCGCAATTATGCTAGGAGGTACTGGGAAGAATACAATAATCTAGAGGAAAATGTGTGTAGTGAACATATGGCTGTTTTGTCTTTCAAACATGGCCTGTGCCCGGAAAGTAAGTTGAGACAATCACTTACCAAGCACCCAGCCACAGCATTAAAAGACTTGCGTGCCAGGATCGAGCAATACACTCACCTCAAAGACGATCAGGTCCCCATCGAGGTAGCGTCAGCAGAACAAATAGCTCGGCACAAGAAGAGAACAAATCGAGGAGAACACAGAGGTATCGCAGTGAATGACGTGGATAAGTCCAAATCCCACGAAGCTGTCATGACTATGTTTAAAGAGCCAATCTATCGAATCCTGGAAAAAATCAAGAGAGAGCCCTTCTTTGTTTAGCCGTCGAAAATGTTGGGAGATTCGGCTCGGTGCAATCAGAAGCTCAGATGCACTTACCATCAACATAGGGGGCACATGACTCAGAACTGTAGAGCGTTGAAACAACACTTAGAAGACTTAGTAGCGGCTAGGTACCTCCGGGACTACATTGATCAGGATAAGGAAGTGACCGAACCGAAGAACCCACCACCAGAACCGAATGTTGAGCACCCACCCTGGTTGGTAATAAATGTGATCCATGGAACCGCAACTCAAGAATCTGAAGAGACACTGAAAGAAGAGATTGCTAAGGCTGCGCAAACTCAGCAGGTCATGTCAGTGGAACTTGCATCGAAAAAGGTACGTATAGTACCTAAATCCCCTTTGTGCACTATTTCATTTACTAGAAAAGATTTAGAGGGCATACAGCACCCACATATTGATGCATTAATTATAACTGTGGGAATCGGAAAACGATTTGAAGTAAAACGAGTCTTGGTAGATCAAGGTAGTGCAGCAGACATCTTGTATTATGACTTGTTCAGAAAGCTTGGTCTCTCCGAGCAGCACCTCACCCCAACGGCAGCCCCGTTGGTTGGCTTCAATTCACAGCCAGAATGGCCGCTTGGCAGAATAGTGTTGCCAGTCGTGGCGGGAACAAAAACCCTCCAAATAGAGTTCCTCGTTATTAATACACCATCCCCTTACAACGCCATACTTGGCCGACCGTGGATTCATCAAATAGAGGCAGTCCCTTCAACTTACCACCAGCTTATCCGTTTCCCAACGGAACACGGAGTAGAGCAGATCTCAGGGGATCAAGTTGCGTCCAAACATTGCTTCATGGCGGCACTAAAGGCAAAGTAGCTCTGCAAACAGGTACAGACAGTAGAGGTGGCCGAACAGCCAGTCTTGGAAGATGTAAGGGAAGCCCTAAAGCAAAAGATAATGGAAGACTTGGAAAGAGTCCAGGTAAAGGAGGATGATCCAGAAAAGTACTTCCTTATCGGTACCTCGCTAGGCATTGATGGGAAACTTCAGCTGCTAGAACTACTGTGGAAAAATATGGAGGTATTCGCATGGTCAGCATATGATACTCTAGGGTTGGACCCAGAATTTGCTTGCCACAAGCTCAACATCAACCCTTCAGCTCGGCCCGTTGTGCAAAAAATTCAGAGATCCTCAGTTGAGCACACCGAAGCGGTAATTGCCGAAGTCGAAAAACTCTTGGCATCAGGAGCAATCAGAGAAGTTCAGTACCCACAATGTCTGTCCCACACAGTTGTAGTCAAGAAGAAGAACGAAAAATGAAGAGTTTACGTTGACTTCACTTGCTTGAACAAAGCCTGCCCCAAAGATAGCTTTCTGCTGCCTCGCATTGATCAACTAGTAGACTCAACAGCAGGGCATGAGCACATGAGCTTCCTAGACGCTTATAGCGGCTATCATCAGATACCACTGTTCAGCCTGGATCAATAAAAGACAACATTTATCACTCCAAGAGGAACTTACTGCTACAAAGTGATGCCGTTCGGCCTCAAGAACGCCGGGGCAACCTACTAGCGGATGGTCACTCGGATGTTCAAGGACCAACTAGGAAAAACCATGGAAGCTTATATAGATGATATGGTAGTAAAAAGCAAGCTCGCTACAGACCATCTTACAGACTTAAGAGAAGTTTTTGGCATCCTAAAAAACCATCAGCTTCGCCTTAATGCCTCGAAATGCGCTTTCGGGGTAAGAACAGGGAAGTTCTTGAGATATATGGTCACTCACAGAGAGATCGAGGCGAAATCGGACCAAATAAAAGCAATACAAGATCTTGAAGTACCAACAAAGGCCAAAGACCTGCAAAAACTGGCCAGAAATGGCGGCCGCGCTGAATCGGTTCATCAGTAAATCTTCAGATCGGATGAAGCCTTTCTTCTAGCTTTTGAGGAAAAGGACAGCATTTGAATGGAGTTGCGAGTGTACCGAAGCACTGCAAAGTCTTAAAAGATACCTCAGCACACCACCTCTTCTATCCACACCAGAACCAGGAGAGGAGCTGTACCTCTACCTAGCAGTTTCGGATCATGCCGTAAGCGCAGTATTAGTTCGGGAAGTGAATAAGGAACAGAGGCCAATATACTATGTTAACAAGACTTTATTGGACGCCGAGACACGGCATCTACCCTTGGGAAAGTTAGCTTATGCGCTGCTTATCGCCTCGAGGAAGTTACAACATTATTTCCAGGGGCATACCATTAATGTCCTCACTGAATTCCCCCTCAGATCTGTATTTAGTCGAGCCGATTCTCTGGCAGAACAGCAAAATGGGCGGTAGAACTTGTGAGTTTGACATTCGGTATCAACCCAGGACAACAATTAAGGCCCAGGTCTTAGCAGATTTCGTCGCACAATTTGCTCCCACCCAGGGTACCGGACCAGGGAATCCTAGTTCGGCACAGGTGCCGCGCACCACCGAACAAGGAAAGCCCTGCGCTTCGGAAGCCTGGAAACTCTTCATTGGAAACATCTGGCAGCTCTATGTTAACGGGTCGTCCAATAACCGAGGCTCGGGGGCAGGAGTAGTACTTATCTCACCAGAAGGATTTATCTGGGAATAAGCTCTCAGGTTCGGTTGAAGGGCTTCGAACAACGAGGCAGAGTACGAAGCATTGTTGGTTGGCTTACGCAGTGCCGAACACTTCAGTGCAGAACAACTTCTTATTTTCAACGATTCACAGCTAGTGGTAAACCAACTTTCTGGGGTCTATGAAACACGAAATGAAAGAATGGCCATGTACGCAGGCAAGGCCAAAGACTTACTCAAAAAGTTTCAATCCATACGAGTGGAACGAATTAGTTGGGACAAAAACAGTCATGCTGATGCTCTGGCTTGTCTCGGCTCATCAGTGGATACCAAAGATACCAGAAAAGTTTGGGTTGAGTTCGTGCCAGAACCAAGCATTGCATCTCCAGTCCTCTGCAGCAGCGTAGAGCCGAGCTGGATGGATCCAATACTTGCTTTTCTAAAATCTAGTACTCTCCTTGAAGACAAAAAGGAAGCCAACAAAGTCAGACATAAGTCAGCTCGGTTTTGGATCTCACCATCCAGGAAGCTGTACAGACGCTCCTATCTTGGCCCATATCTTCTATGTGTGCATCCAAATTTGGTCGAGAATGTCCTCTATGAAATTCACGATAGGATTTGTGGATGCCACGTTGGCGGAAGGTCGCTGGCACACCGAGCCCTCACTCACGGGTATTGGTGGCCACAAATGCAACAAGATGCTCAGCAGTACGTACAGAAGTGTGATAAATGTCAGAGCTTTGCTCCATTCATTCATCAACCAACCAAAACTCTCACCCCACTCACCAGCCCATGGCCCTTTACCCAATGGGGTCTGGATATTGTCGGACCATTGGCGCGAGGCACTGGGAACAGGCGATTCTTCATTGCTGCAACCGACTATTTTACTAAGTGGGTTGAAGTCGAGGCATTGGCAAATATTAAAGAAGCGGATACAAAGCAGTTTGTCATGAGAAACGTGGTGGTGCGTTTCGGCATCCCGCGAGTACTGATTGCGGATAATGGAACGCAGTTCGATGGAAAGATCTTCAGAAAGTTTTGTGCCGACCTCAGGATCGAGCATAGGAACTCTTCTCCAGGGTACCCACAAAGCAATGGACAGGCAGAAGGATCAAACAAAACCATCATCAACGGAGTAAAGAAACGGCTTGAGCATGCCAAAGGAAAATGGGTTGAAGAGTTACCCCACGTGCTATGGGCATACCGAACCACAGTACGGTGCTCAACGGAGAAAACATCTTACTCCCTAACTTATGGAATAGAGGCCGTCATCCCACTCGAAGTTGCCCTCCCAACCCTTCGGTCTGAATTGTTTGAGAGCACTAGTAACGAGGAAGCTATTGCACACGCACTGGATATGGCAGAGAGCCGAAGAGAAGCAGCACTGATCAGACTTGTAGTGTATCAGTAGCAGCTCATCAAGAGTTTCAACCAAAATGTTTTCCCAAGGCAATTTACACCAGGAGAACTAGTTTTGAGGAAAGTTATGGATCACAAAAGGGAGCTTGGCGAGGGCAAACTTGGGCCTAACTGGGAGGGTCTGTACAAAGTCACAGTTGTTGTAGGAAATGGAGCTTACTACCTAGAGGATCTGAAAGGCAGAGCTATACCTCGGCCTTGGAATGTAGCAAATCTCAAGAAATACTATCAATAGAATTATCCCCCAACTTCTCTATCAGAATGTAAAAGCATTTAACTGTTGACCAATGCAAATGCTTCCACACTTCTCTCAAATTTATCAAATTCTCATAATTAGCTTTAATGTTTATCAAACGGAATTAGCTTTGATGTTTATCAAACGGAATTAGCTTTGGTTCTTAAGCTTTGGTGCTTAGCAAACGGAATTAGCTTTGATGTGTATCAAACGAACTCAGCTTTGGTCTTAACCCAAGCAGATTAAGTTTCAGAATGACTGAATGGAATTAAATTTTAGTTAGCAGTTAAACATGCCAAGTGGAATTGCTTGGTGGAAACCGCACTAACATATCTTAAGTAAACATCTTTGTATCTACAGAACCTCTTAAGTACCAACACGTCGACACTTCAGTACTGACTCAAACAAGCAGCATTGGAACAAGCATGACCAGATTCTATCAGGAATAAACTTCCAGCATTAGTCTTACTCAACTCCAGGTGGGGGCAAACGATTGTTTCTCAAAACCAACCTAGACCTGAGTAAGACACCTCTTCATGCCTTTATCTCATTCAAATGCCCTTATGCTATCAAAGTTGCAACAGACTTAAGCAGCTCTACCTAAAGAGCACAATCTTTAGTGTCAATCTTACTTAGCTCCAAGTGGGGGCAAACAATTGTTTTTCAAAACCAACCCGGATCTAAGTAAGACCCACTTACGAACTCAAGCACAGCCGTACCACATATCCGTTAGCCATACCGAGCATCAGTTCGGCCCCGAGGCCCCAACAGTGCTCGGCCGAGGGCAAACGGTACAGAGCCAGACCGAGCTCTATTCGGACCTGAGGTCCCAATAGTGCTCGGCCGCGGGCAGGCAGTATAGAAAACATTCAGATATAAAAGCCAAACAGCATCAGATTGCAAGTTCAAAGAGAAAATTCTATCATCCAAAGGCACAGATGGCCTCATAACCAGCAGCAAAGAAAAGAAAAGAGAAAAGAAAAATTGTCTTGACAAGTGCAGAAAGAAAGCTCGTCATGGAGACCGAGCCACAATACATCAAAACAGAAAAGCAAAAAGTTCAATTCCTTTCAACTTCAACTTTCATTAACAGAGGAAACCTTAAAAGCAGCATCAACAATTTTGTCCAGGCCGTGTTGGGGAGGAAAAGTAGAGGCAGCTCCAGCTTCCTGAGAAGCAGAAGCCTCCTTAACCACATCTCCCGCGGCTTCAGTCTCCAGGGTTTCACCCCCTTCAACATTCACCGTTTCAACGGCAACATTACTGTCTTGGGTCTTGTTTGCATAATCAATTTCTGGGGAAACTTCAGCTGGAAGAACAGCAAGGGTGAAGACAGTCTTTGAACCCAAGGATCTTGAGGGAACTGGGACATCCTGAAACAGGGAAGAGCCTTCAGGAACCAGCGCGGCAGCTAAAGCGCTCGTCCAACCCTTTAGAAAGAGCTTGTCTCGCAGCACTAACACCTCCCCCTTATATACCGCCCCAACTTCATCCCAGCCTTGTTGCCAATGCTTGGCCTCCAAAGCAGAGCGCTCGCGCGGCCATCAGGGCAATAACAGCTTCCAGTTCGGCCACCTTGCCCTCGAGTTGAGCCTGTGTCCCAATAGCAGCCTCCTTCGATTTTTCAGCTGAAGCAAC